CATGATCAGCTCTCTTTCAGTCGATATTGCTTGTCGTAACCTAGCCGTGAGGAATCTAAACACAGTGGAACAATTAAAAACCCTCCGCCGCCAACTAGCGTTTCGGAGCAGTACTGCAGAGCAACCAAGACCTTAACGCAGAAGTAATGCTCACAACGGCGTCGCCTACGTGCGTAGCCAACGCCGTACATTACGGCGTACCCTCGACGCAGAAGTATAAATTGGCCTTTACTCTACGTGTAGGCTTATTTCGACCAATCACAAAGCATTTTACTAATCAATAAGATTTTTAAAAAAAATCCCTAAGCATCTCTGTCACTCACCTCATGAATATGTCAGCCAATCACAGTGCATATAATTGGCCATGTGCCTTGAAAAGACGACACCACTCAAAAATGACGCAGGTGCGTTTGCCGGGCTTAATGGTCACAACGCACAGATGCGCGATCCGGTCTCAAAAGTAAACACACACAGATGTGTGATCCGGTTTTAATGGGTTAAAAAAGTATATTTAAAAGAATCCTAAAACATTTTTTATGTAAGTTTTTATACATTTTAAATACAATAAAAAAATCAATAATTCAGTTCATTTAAAAAAGCAGCATTGACGTCATAAAAAAAACGTTGCCTGAGGCGCCCGTGTCAGTGGAGTCACAATGACTGCAGCCTGTAGACGGTGCGAGGCGATTATGTTCGCAATTAAGTAGGTGGATGATGGAAAAGTCTCAATTCTGCCTACCCCAGACAGCAAACTGACATTGAATCAACGTGAAAACGACTTCTCTCATGACATCGAAACAACGTTGATCTGGCATTGTTTTGCTCATCGAATTAATGTTGAACCAACGTCAGACACGGCATTCTTCAAAGCTAAATGAAAATCGGAAATAGGTTTGCTTTCGTGACGTTGAAACAACGTTGATTTCTAGTTGATTTTCCGTTTCAACGTTAATTCGAAGGCAAAACAATGCCAGGATCAACGTTGTTTCGATGTCATGTTTCCACGTTGATTCAATGTCAGTTTGCTATCAGGGACTAAACTAATAAGAGGATTTGATGAGTATGAACACTCAGCGGGTATGGAAGAAAAGGAAGTTTACTTGCTGGAGTGGCGTCAAAGAGCCGAAAGTTGGGTGGGCGGATCGAGGCCTTCATAATCAAGATGGCAGATAACTTATCTATTATCCCCCTATACTCTTATATATCATTATTACTTGTGTGAATATATTATTACTTTATTATTCTGGATATGCTTGTAGACTTAACAAGTCAGTGAAATAATCAATTTGGTTTTTTTTTTAATGTAACGGTTAACATTATCAGGAGGGCGGTGTTATGACATGCTACAGTCATTAGCCTTTATCTCAGCATTATTTTATCTCATGAGAATGGGAGACCACAGTTATGCCTTAATTTATTTTACAATGCTCCACATTTTCTTGCCTAAATAAAACTTTTAAAGACCTTTAGAGTTGCTCAGTAATATTTCTGCCTTCTTATTTCTACTTGTACATTGTAGGCTACTCGAATGGACGGGGTGGTTATACTACAGTAACTTGCACTGCCCGACAGTATCCCCCACTCCACCCCATGCTTGGGATGGTCCTGATTGTACTTGTACACAGAATCTCAACTGCTATGTAAATGTTTTCCTGTTTTTCTGATTCTGTATTAAATACATTAATTTTTTCCTTAAGTTACAGATGTCAAAGACTCCATCTCATGTTTCATTTGCTCTTAAAGTAAGTATTAGCAGCTTTTTCTGTAATGTCTGTGCCACATGCTAAGCATAGCTATTGAAATATTGACTTTCCTAATAGATTTTTTTAAACATAGCTATTGAAATAGTGACTTTTCTAATAGATTTTGACATTTATTAAAATAATTGGAAAGAAATTACAACAGAACAAGTTGTACATCATACCACAGCTACATGCAAACTACTATGCTGTATATTAAATCTATGTATTTTATGGTATAATTATCCTGCTAGAAGAGCCAGTTACATAGATCACTAGATAAACTTGTATTGTAAACAATTGTCCAGTACTATTGCTAACATATCCATTTTTACTATATTCATTTTAGCCTGTGCCATCAAATGCAGATGTCCTTCATGTAAGTTATGCATTTTAACTATTGTTTTTATTTCATTTTTTACATTTCAAATATAGTTTGTCAAGTCAGGAACATTATTCATAGCATCCGAGTTATTTGAACATGACTGTGGTAGATAAACAATAGTTTACCTAAAATTAATAAATCTCATCATTTACTCACCTTTGTTTTCTCATTTTTGTGTGCCTTATTTTCCTCAGCATAACAGCAAAATATTTGCTACATCCAGTGGTTCTTTGTCTGCTAGTGAAGTAAGTATTTAGTTTTTGCTTTGCCAAAATACATGGTGCAGTTACGAGTCACTGCTTTGTTGATTTTTTAATAAAGTGTGTAAAGGTTTGTAGCTAAGCACTTCCTCCTTTTCTTTATAGTTTACCAGCAACAGTCTGTCTGTTATAACAATGTTGACTTTCATTTTGGTTTTATTTTTATTTTATCTTTTTTGGTGTTCCAGCTAACTATGTAAGTACTTTTTACTGAAGATTTAGGCATTTATTTAGGACTTAGGCATAGATTTGTTAAGCATTTCTGTGATGGGTGAAATTGCTAAATAATTTACAGTGATCACAACCACAGGTGGACTTAGCACATGGTACGGGCATAAAAATCCTAAAGCATCAATGGACTTCTGCCCTGGTCCATGTTCTTTTAATGGCCGCCTTCCCACTAGAGGATCTGATCCCGAGCAATTTGAAAGGTAGACTGTTTCAAAGGCCAAGTAAATTTCTTAGATATTAATCTGAGTAGAAATCTAATCAGAAGACAATTGTGCATGTCCTCTGTACCCTATTCAAATGTTCATGTATCATCTATTGTCTTTTGTAGGGGGAAAGAGTAAAACTGGCGGTAGTTCCGAGAGAAGAAGTGCCTGTGACAAGGAAACCATGGGAGTCATATTTGGTAAATCAAGACTTGCAGTGCGTCCGAATTATCACATACTGTTTGAGTAGATACATTTGTATTTGAATCTACATCACAACCATTAAACCATCTATATGAATGAATTTCGGACATTACTTTTTACATTTGTTAATAACGGCCGGGTGTCCACTAGCTGGCACGAAGCAGAGCGAGCATTTTCAATTCATTCATATGGAAGTTCTTGAGCGTAAATCTCAACTTCCATATAAATGAATTGAAAATGCTCGCTCTTTGTTAAGCACGCCAGTGGACACCCGGCCGCCATTAACATAGGCAGTGGCAAAATACGCATCAATGGAGGGACAGAAATCTCTCAAATGTTATTATACATGTAATTTTTGTCTCTCACAGTGGCAGTCAAGAAGAGGTTTCCCAATGTGTCCAGAGGAGCTTTGGGTGAATTCCAAGCTTGGGGAATGAAGAATGCTTGAAAAAAAAAAAAAAAGCTAATTTTTGTTATATATTTACAGCAAATAAAGATTTTATTCAAATGTGACATTGTGAATGTATTTTTTTTGGACTGAAATGTATGCAGGCCAAAGTATATTTTTATGTTTTAAAAATAAATAAATAAATATAAAAAATGGCCCAAAAATGTATTTGTAGAAAATATATTTTGAAATATATTTGAGCAAATATATTTTTTGTCCATTTTTTGTATATTTTTAAATGTATTAAAATTAACAATACTTGGAAATTATCTCCTCATTCACCTTTTAAATAATTTTTTATACTTCACATTTAAATATGTATTTCACCAAACTTTCAAAACCGAATAAAACGCAAACAAAGGTTTTATATTTGCATGTCAATTTCTATGCACGTCTGGGATTTCAGCGTGTGAACAGGACTTTTATTTTGGTCTGTTGGTATGACGTCATAAGGCTGCGCTGCATCTTTTGTGATTCGGCTGAAGAGGAAAGGTTTGTGTGACTTAAGCCCATTCTCTCTCTCTCTCCGACTGACTCTTACCAGGGAATTGAACTAGATCTGATTTAGAAACGCACAGAGATTTAGTTTCGAGTGTTTTTTCTTTCTGTTAATAATTCCCATCTTAAATAGGACGAAGTGTGCATAAACCCTCCTGGTGAAGCGGCAGAGATCCATGCGACACAATTTAATAAAGATGGCTTATATTAAAGAGGAGAATGAAGACATAAAGATTGTTATTATTAAAGAGGAGAGTGAAGACTCAAGGATTGAAGAAACATTCAGTGTGAAACAAGAAGAAACTGAGGAAAAAACAGGTCAGTTTTATTCTCAAAGCTGATCTCAGTCATTTGATCCTCATTAAAAGTGGTTTTATTTGACATGGAGCGGCTTACCTCATGTGGACAGACATATTGAGATCTTAAGAGAGTAACTGTGTAAATGATTATATTTTAAAAAATGATTTGGAGTAGAAAAATAATTATATAAATCGATTTTAAATTGAATACTAAACCTGCCTCATGCTCACTTTAAATGTTTATTATTTATTTAAATATTAACTGAATAGCTTGTTAATTGTCTGTTCAATCTCTGTTGTTAATTGTAACCATACATATTATAGCAGTAATGTGCAATAAATTGCTTTCTGTATATATTTTATAGCATTAGCTGAGATAGATTTAAATGTTAATTATAATTGATTATTTTTTTAAGAGACGCAATGTATTTAATAAACCTTTGTTTAAAAAAAAAATCAGAAAAATAAGCTATTTTATTTTTACTTTCCTTCCCTGCTATACCGAACCATCATGTTACTGTTACACCCCTAAAATATAGTAAAATTATTTGTGAAACTGGCGAATTGCAATTGTCTCATTACTGCAATCAGCAAACTGTCTTATTTCTACAAATATTTAAATTGTTGTTGAAGAGTACAACCAACTCTATACTCTCACATGGATCACCTTTAACGATTTAAATTTTATTTACTACCTTTCTCTGTATTAATGACAGAAATTTCATTTTTGGGTGAACCAACACATTTAAACAGGCAAGAGTGGAAAATGCTAAGCAAAAAAAAAAAAAAATGTAATTAATTTTTTTTATATCATCTGGACTTAGATAAAACATATCCAAAAGAATTTTTAAAAATGTGATATATTTTGGATTTTATGAGTTCTGTCTCCTGAGATACGTTGCCTGATTACGGTATACAAAAAGGACCATGTCATTAATCTGTTAACTGTTACTGCCACTGTATGTCTAAAGGGGTCATATACTGCCATTTTTTTACAAGTTACTATGAATGTTAAGGGTCTAAATGAAATCTTTCTAATGTACTTTTATTCAAAATTCTCGTTAGTATTTTAAGAAAACACTAATTTTACATGGTCAAAATCAGCTCTGTTTTCAGCACGCCGTTTCAGTGCATGTCTTTAAAGGGCATATTGCAGGTTAGAGGACCCAACGAGTCAATGCATAGAAAAACAAGATTTTCTTTAAAATATACTTGCTACAGAAGCTTCTGGAGTCGTTTTTGTGAGAGAATTTTACTTCCGCGTCTGAAAATGGGCGTGGCGGTCGTGACGCAACGAGCGGAAGAGCGGTCGATTCACGCAACAGGAAAACAATGGGTCGCAATGACATTTCAGACAGAACGGTCAGAGAAAAATTGAGCTGTGATGTGAGGAGAACCAGTGGAGAACAGGGGCCTCATTTATAAAACTTTGCGTAGGATTTGCATCAGAAGTGGCGTACGGATAAAACATAGGACGTGCGTACGCACAGAAATATTCTGATTTATAAAACCGTGCGCACGCACATCCTACGCATTTTTCCCTTAATAAATTACAATCAATTCTAAATGTAGCGCAGCTTTTGCGGCTTCATGTCACGCCCATAGTTGCCCATAAATGGTCTGTGAAATGTCCACAAGTTAATATTCATCAATTGCGAAATCATGTTAAACACAGAGAGGAATTAAAAAAAAAATGTAACTTCACTCATTGGCCCTCATTTAACAAAAGTGCGTACACCACATTTCCAGCGTACACCTTGCGTACACTCAAAACCACGGTGAGTTTGAGATTTATCAATATGGATGTGGGCGTACGGCACGCTCGAATCCTACACCAGCTCAGGAGGTGGTGTACGCACGTTTTGAGTTAGTGAGGAAATGCGCAGAAAAATTCCTAACACCACAAAACGCACTGACAAACTAAAAGATATGATATATTATGACCCACTGTAAAACAAACAAACAAACAACAACATAGAAATTATAAACTTCAGTATTTATTTTTGTGTAACGTGGACTTCAATGTTTAATTTGTGTGACTTTACCAAAGCATTTGATTTGTAGCCTAAGCATATATTCCTTCAGTTGCGAGCCCACTTTACCCTGACGTTTCAGGATTATCCCCGGCAGGTGCGCACGGACTGGGTTCGGTAGCCTAATGAAAGGCTTTCAATGACCAAAAAATAATTCAGACTGACAAAATAATAAAAAATACATTCTTCTTCTTTTAAATGATAATAATAATAGAAATAATAATAACGACATCCTTCTTCTAAATAACAATAAGCATCATTAATGCAAATCATAATAATAAGAAGAATACTATTACAAATTGTCATGCAATTATTAATGTGAATGAATGGTACTTCACATCACATCATCATTACTATTATACATGTGACGTGATTCAAAATTGAATGCTAATTTTAAAAGACGTGCTGTAAAATAATGCATTGTGATGGGTCATTTCGTCTCCACGTCTGAGAAGTTTCTCTTCTTTGCCGTCTTCCGTGCGTCCATGGTGTAAAATAAGGGCGTGGGGGGAGCGGAGACTTAAATATTTAGGGGCGTGTTATTTAGGGGTGTCACGATTCTCCAAATCCTCGATTCGATTAAGTTATCGATTCTAAGGTCACGATTCGATTCTCGATTTAAAAAAAATGTAAAGCGCAGATTGCTATTCAATTTTTAGACTACACATTTATGCATTATGCAATATAAATTTGTTCACAATGTACACTACACCATTGCCAAATTTAAAATATAACAAAAACAAGTAACATCATAAATGTAACAATAACTTTATTAAGTCAATTGGAAACTTAAAGGAGAACTCCGGCGAACAATGAACCTTTGGTCTAATAAAACATCGATACATAGTCAACCGTTCTCTGAGATTTGTTTTCATGATAATCGAATGTAAAGAGTTTTATCTCTAAAAACTGTTTAGCGTATAATGCTAGTAATGGGGGCATTGAGTAAGTAAAAAGAAATCGCTAGTTTATACCACTAACAAGGCTCAAAATAGCCCCACACTAACGCAGTAACATAATGAGGCTCCATACATGCAAAACGAAGCATTGAGAGCTTTGTAAGTGTACAGACCGTTTAATAAGAAGATACTTTATGAAGACAGTTCACTTCGTGTATACAGACAGGAGCCATCTTAAAAAATAGTCTTGATAAGTCAAACTACGAATGTCGTGCTGACTGATCTGAACTCTATGAAGTTCAACGAACTTCTGAACTGTATGAACGGCGTTCGGGGATCGACTTATCGAGACTATTTTTTTATTTTCTTCTGCCTGTATACGTGAAGTGAACTGTCTTCATAAAGTATCTTCTTATTAAACGGTCTGTACACTTACAAAGTTCTCAATGCTTCGTTTTGTATGTATGGAGCCTCATTATGTTACTGCGTTAGTGTGGGGCTATTTTGAGCCTTGTTAGTGGTATAAACTAGCTCAATGCCCCCATTACTAGCATTATACGCTAAACAGTTTTTAGAGATAAAACTCTTTACATTCGATTATCATGAAAACCAAACTCAGAGAACGATTGACTAGGTACCGATGTTTTATTAGACCGAAGGTTCATTGTTCGCCGGAGTTCTCCTTTAAGAGAAACTAAATGGCAGGTTACTTTGCTTTTGTAACTGCAGTCTTCTCAGAAGATGACCTTATACCACAACAAAACAAACAAAAGCAATAAAACAGCAATGTCCATAGACTCCACACTAGTCTTCTCTGAATAATTAAGCATCTTAAACTATTTCTGAACAGTTATATTCTGTTATAAAAAAACAACATATACCACACAAATAACTACTTTTTATCCCCAGAGAATGATGACTGTATTTTTCATTATTTTATGTTCTTCCTAAAGAGGGATATGTTGTTTTGTTTAGAGCTGCTATTATCAGTTGTCACAGGGATGGATACATTTTTTCTATCCAACTTCCATTCCACTACCACTTCCCTCAGCACTTCTGCTAAATGTTCACTTGTGTGAGTTTCTTATATGGGGTGAGTTTGAAGGACTGGATTTTGAATTTCCCAGTCATCATAATATAATGTGCTGTGACAGTCATGAAGCTCTGTGTTGCTCTGAAGGTCCAGCAATCTGTAGTCAAGGCCACTAAATGTGCACTTCTCAGACCTTCAATAACTTTCTCCTTTACATTGTTGTACAATGAGGGTATCACCGTAGTTGTGAAATGCGTTCTACTTGGGATTTCGTAGCGCGCTTCTCGCACGCTAATTAAATGTCTAAATTCGCAGTTTTCCACCACCGAATAAGGTCGCATATCTGTAGCGATGAATACTCCTAAGGCACTTGTAATTGCATGAGTTGAGTTACTTGGAAGTTTAATTCCAAATGAAGACGGGAAAGTAGTTTGTACAGTTGTTGGTAGGGTTGTGCCGATAGACGATAGTATCGTGTATCGACGATAGTCTGACATATCGCCGATGGCAGATGCCTTTGACGATATCAATACGATAATTGGCTCGTTTTACCATAATGTATTAAATTATTATTATTAGGCCTATTATTATTATTATTATAAAGCTAGTATTGTTATTAAATGAATATTAGGAACTACAATCAATTTGCCTTGCCTAAATTTACAACGACATCACCTCATAACAATTGCAACACACGCACTAATGAGGACTCCTCTAAGAGAATGTTTTTAAAACAGACTAAAAAACATCCCACATCAAAATTTAATTGCAAGGTGATCCATTCACAAATTATCAAGTGTGCTCGTTTTAACAGACGCAAAATTCAATTTCCTACAGATCCAAGATGAAAACGGCATCGTTGTTCGTCAGTATTTGTTTCCGTAACACATTAACAAAACGTTTAATGACACTAACACTAAAAACAATATAATTACTAAATAGTGTTAATAATAATAATATCACTAAAATAGTATTATAGTTAGTTACCGTTATCATCGTCCTCTCTGAGTGAACGCAGCGTTAATGCAGATGCCAAAAGCAGTCCGTTTTTACG